ATGCCTGTACCTCCTCATGTACCTGCTATGTTTTCCTCTGTCTCACATTTTACAATAAGGTCTTTGAACCACTTGGAATTGATTTTTGTGCTGGATGCAAAATGGAAATCTCGCTTCATTTTTCTACACATGATAATCAATTTTCTCTAGCACCGTGGTCAAAGAGTTTGTCTTTTTATGGGTGGGTATTTTGGGCATCTCTGTAAAAATATTCGGGCTGCATTTGTGTAGGCTTACATCTGGATCTTCGTGTGAAAGGTCAGGGCTGAGACCATGGACCCTGAAAATGAGGACCAGCAAAGGAATCAGCTTATTCGGAACTCAGAGTGCAGAGCCTTTGTTCTTACCCATATTGTATGGTTGCAGGTCTGGTTACAAAATGCTGAGAGCATAAGAAACCAATCTGTTATGTGGGCATTTTTCTTACTGGACGAAGAGCAGCTTTTTAAATGTTACTAATTGAATCATTTTTCCAGAAGATAAATGTGAAGAACTTGAGGCCCGGCCAAGGGAATACTTGTTGGAGTGTAAAGGCGGTATACTGCCAAAACCATGCGAGCATCCTCTTGTTTTCCAGGGACGCCTGGCAAGTGCATTATTCTGGCCTGACTTCAGTTCAACAAATCTCCTTCATTTCCCCCTTTTTGTTTAGTCATATTTTGTAACGTAATGTTGAATACAGCTCCTCAATGTTGAGTCTTTTCTTGATATTGGGAGGCTTTCTTCCCCAGACCATTAAAAATAGCAATACCAAACAAACAATCAATGTAAACATTACAGCATAGGAGAAGCTTGCCATCTTAGCTTGATTAAATGAATTGAACTTTCCCAAGCCATCAGCAATACCTTCCAATAATCTGTCACCAGATAGTCCATGCAATTGTTCTGCAAATGTATGATTACTATCAGAGAGTAATTTCAATGTTTCTTGAGTCACATTACCATGACTTAATAATTGTTTTCCAACCTTATCCCAAGGGAACAAGGTCTGATTCAAATGTGCTGAGCTGGGTCACATTCTAATTACATCTTAATGATAACTGTGAGATAACAACTTGATCACCTAACATAACCACAGCTGATTCTAAATTTGTGATTCCAATACGCAGCCTTTATCTTTGAGTGTTCGAGTTGTGTCAAGTCTTTGAAAGGAAATAAGTATTGCTGTGCAGAGAACAGGAGGACGAGTAGGAGAGAAGAGAAACACTTCTAATAGTGCCTCCCTTGGGAGGTGTTGTGCAGACCTTGTATATGAAGAGCTATGCGGAATGAGTGACATACATTTTTCTGAATCAGAATTCCATTTTTAAATATTATGTACATGTTGAATGTTTTGATGAAGGGCTACTCCGGGAGTTGCAGCAGTGGCAGTAATAGCAATATTTCCCAACACATTGGCAATAATTAGTCCAATATATATGATAGAACATAGACATGGAAGGAGATTCTGTCCATGCTTAATCCATCTGTCCAGGCATCAAAACACCAATTTGGGCTCAAAGTACATCAGTGCTCTGAGAGTTCAAACAAACAGGCATGACGAACAATTGGAACAAGATACATATCCTTCAGATTGATTCCAAGTAGTTTTTCCAGTCATAAAGAAATAAGGAAGATGAACACATACCATAATATTCTGAGATACTTATTATATAAAAACAGAACAAAGTCTCATTATTAGAAGTATTTTTCTATATATTCCCTCTCCAGGCCCACATATTACCCAATGGTGACAAGAGGAGATGGATGTTGCGGGGTATTTGTCAGCACTGTCCCTCCAAGACTGGCAATCAAGTGAAATCTTGAATAAGAAGGTGGAGTCCATGTTCAGCTGGCCAGAATAAACCACAGAGTTTCAGATGGATCCAGATTTGAATGGGGAGACACCGGGAGGAATAAGAAGGAGCTTAGAAAGATTTTCAGGCCTTTTTGATCTGGGAAGGTGGAGCGGCAGGGTCAGCTGATCGTTTCCCCATCACTCTGTGGATAAGAGAATAATTAATACAAATGTTGCATCTAGCACCCAACACTTGGCATTATTAGACCACACTAAGGTGCTCCTGAAAAGAATACAAAGAGGAGATTCTATTAATTACCTAGGATATAAGATAGATTTACAAAAAAATTCAACCACAGAAGGCAAAAAATCAAGAGAGATCCATTACAAACTTTTTTTTAAATATTTATTTATTATGTATACAATATTCTTTCTATGTGTCTGCCTTCAGTCCAGAAGAGGGCACCAGACCTCATTACAGATGGTTGTGAGCCACCATGTGGTTGCCAGGAATTGAACTCAGGACCTTTGGAAGAGCAGGCAATGCTCTTAACCGCTGAGCCATCTCTCCAGCCCCCATTACAAACTCTTAATCATTTTCAAAACTTGCTGGGAGATATTAACTGGCTACAGCCCACAATTGGATTAACAACTCACAAGTTAAGCAATTTATTTCAAACCTTACAAGGTGATAAGAATTTAAATAGTCCAAGAAGATTATCAGTTGAGGCCGAGCAAGAAGTGGCTTTGGTAGAATAGAAACGGCAGGATGCCCATGTGGATCGCTTGGGTCTGGAGCTGGTTTGTATTCGGGTTATCTGACCTTCTATGCATTCTCCCACAGGAATTCTTATGCAGAGAAAAGATATCTTAGAATGGAAATTTTGCCACACAAACAGAGTAAAAAAAATTAAAGACACAGGAAGGAATATGGAGGGGCTTAGATTCAAGAGCCTCTTCAATCTGGGGAGACAGAGAGGCAGGGCCAGCTGACTGTTTCTCGGTTGCTCTGTGGGACCCCAGTATCTGACTCCTGTGTTTTAACTGATGAAAGAATCACTTATGTAAATGCTTCAGCTGGAGAGGACATTCATCCTACCCCTATGTACTGCTAACCCCTCAGACTCACTATTTAAGGGTGGTGACCCTGTAATTACAGAACTGTCTTAATTCTTTGCCTTTCCATTTGGTGCATGCAGAACCTACAGAGCTCTAATTTATGACCCCACCTTTGAAGAATTATTAAGAACTCGCACCTCTGCTCCTCTACATTTCCCCCAAAGTACCCTTCCACTTAACTCTGAGAAAACGGAGTGTGGCAAGGGGGAAAATGAAGTGGAATGAAAGGCTCATTCGTAATATTTCCTTCAACCCCCTTAGCTATTAAAATAAACAGGTTCTTCTTACCTTCATTTTTGGTTCTATTATGAATAACTGTCCACTAGACACAACTTTAAAACAATGAACTTCACGCCCAATACAAGTAGGAAGTCCTTCTACTCCTATTTAAAAAGTTTAAACCCTCTTCTTTGGGAACTGTCATGGGGTCCTTTAGTATAAAATGGAATAGTGGGATCCCCAGTGCACTACTTCCTTAAGGAATGGTTGGGAATATAAGCCCAGTAAGAAAAACACCTTGCTTCACTTATTTGGCTAACATGGCCAAGAACAAGGTTTCAGGTGCTTTATTTTGCCCCAGACGAAGAACTATCTCTTCTCCTTTGTTGGCTAATATTTGCAGCTGCCCCCAGGTAGGAAAGGAACAATTCACTGTGGAAGGTAATGCTTTCACAAGACTTCTGTTGGAGTCCTTAGGTCTGTTATGTATAGGAGCTTATCATTGCAAATAAGACTGCTTGGATTTCTTTCTTTCTTCTTTGTATTCCTTATATTATGTCTCTTGTTTTTACCATTCTAGCTAAAACTTCCAGTACTATACTGAGAATGGAGAAAATAGACACTTTTGTCTGCTTTAGTAGAAATTAAGCATATCTTTTAAAAAGTAACTATAATTTATGTTGCAGTAAATTTCAGTATTTATTATGAGTATATAAAACATACATAACTTATGGAGCTGAAGAAATGGCCCAGCCATTAAGATCATTACTACTCTTTCAGAGGACCAGAGTTCGATTCTCAGCTCCCATGTTGGGCAGCTTAAAGCCACCTGTAACTCTGGCTCCAGGGGATCTGACACTTTCTTCTGACTTCTTCTTTCATATACATAGACTACACACTTACACAGATGCACATACATACACATACATATACATCTCAGTAATTTTTGTATGTTCCTCTTGTATCTTAGCAGATATCTTGTTGAGTTCACTTACTCGTTCTAGGAACTTTTCTTGGGATTTCCTCTCTCCTGGCAGAGAGTGCACAGAATTTGTGCCTGCTGTTTTTTAAACATGTGGTATTGTTCTCCAGTGAAATGATTTGGACCTGGTGGTTTGGAGGTGGGAATGGGAAGATTTTTCAAGTTTCACATTCCAGGTCCTTCGTAGTGAATGAATGACTCACGTACGTTTACATTAAGAGAGTATTGCTGGTTGGTGGACTTAAGGAAATGGTCTATTGCATCCAAGTTGTTGAATTTATATGTGTAGATTCATTATAGATTTCCCTCATTAGTATGAAATTTTGCCAGTTCCTTATGTATCTCCTTCTGAAGCCGTTCCAAAGCATTACAGATGTTATTTTTGTTTCTTTGTCTCAGCGCCTATGGACTGCTACAAATGGACTGGTGAACTGCTTTTCCTGAACTCTACTGATAATTCCTGGAAACTGTTTCTGGTTTCCCTTTTCTTAGTTTATTTCCTTCTGTAACATCTTCAGAAGGACATGACTTTGAGTCTCTCCTCAGATCCTACAGAACTGGAACCGTAGATGACTGAGCCGTGGGTGCTGGAAACGGAACCCAGGCCTCTGGAAGAACAGCTGCTTTTAAACTGTGAGCCAGCCTTCCAGGCCCTAGATGGAGCATTTTAAGGCTATGTGACGGGGTGAAAGCCTCAGTGACTACATCACCCAAGCTGCACCATTTCCTGCCAGCTCGCCCCGCCTCCCATACCCTCCCCCTCCACAGGCCCCGCCCTTTGCTCACGTGTATTTTTGACCCGCCCACTCGCTCCTTTCACCGGCGTCCTTCTGCACACGGGATTTCCGGTCCTCCTCTCGCGACATCTTCCCAGTGGCGTGGCCAGCTGAGGCAACTGTGAGGGATTCCGGGGCGGGCGGAGCTGACGGCTGACCTTGTGCCTCCGCTCGTCAGGCAGGAGCCGGTTCCTTCTGGGGTCGCGGTGCGGCTCCTGCCGCCGGCCGTGGGCAGAGGAGGGAGCGGGCCGGGAGGTGCAGGCCAGCCGCGAGCGGACCGCGTGGGTGCTGCGGGGCGGGGAGGGGCGGCGGCCGGACCCACGCGCGCGTGGCCGCGGCGGGAGGCCTGGGGTCGTGGGTGCCGGGCCCCTTGGGGTCCTCGGAGCTGCCCGGCCCGGGAGACGCCCCGGGGTGCAAAGCTCACCGGTCCTCCCCTTCCTTTGATAGATCCGGAGCGATGGAGTATATGACAGAACCCGCTGACCGCAGCCCGGGACACATGTGAGTTGCGAGCCCCGGGAAACTTCCTGAGGAAACTTTCAGTGGCAGGAGCCCTTTTCTCAATTGGGGGAAAAAAAAATAAGTTTTAATTTCTTAAGAAATCTAGTTAAGGGGGCTGGAGAGATGGCTCAGGGGTTAAGAGCATTGCCTGCTCTTTCAAAGGTCCTGAGTTCAATTCCCGGCAACCACATGGTGGCTCACAACCATCTGTAATGAGATCTGGTGCCCTCTTCTGGCCTGCAGACATACACACAGGCAGAATATTGTATACATAATAAATAAATAAATATTTAAAAAAAAAAAAAAAAAAAAAAAAAAAGAAATCTAGTTAAGTTATTCAGTTCATTTTAAGTTCGGTCTAGAGAATGCATGCTTCGGGAAGGGCTTTACTAGACGTCTGCCGGAGAGACAGTGCACTGCGCAGTCATTCTCCACACGTGGATATTTTCATTTATAACTCGGAACCTCCGACATACGAGCCGCACGCTAAGTGCTCACATATGGAAGTTCATTATACTTTTTAAAATATATTTTACCCCTGGAAGTTAATTATATTTTTCTTTTGGGCAACAATGTCAGTGGTTAACAACCTTTATTTTTTTTTAATTTTTAATTGCTTCAGATAGAGCCCTACTGTATAGCCCCAGTTGGCAGGAAATTCGCGCTGTAGCCAGGACAGACTTTGAGGACCTGTCCTTCCCGCCTTAGCCTCCCAAATGCTGAAATTACATCGAGCCCAGTTCACAAAATTTTTCTGCGTCCAGTCCACTAGAGTTATACTCCTGTCTAGAGCTTCAGTAGACGTAGGTGCTCTTCCTGTCCTGTAGTTTAGTGTAGTTTTCTTTTTAAAATTAATTTTTAACATAAAAAGTAATGGTTTCATTATGACATTTTGATGTATAGTGTGTGTATATGAGTACACATATATTTAACATTGTTCAGGGCTCATATTTCCCTTACCACTGTGCTTCACCGCCCCCCTCCCTTCCTGTAATAATCTCCTTTCTGTTTTCATGTTATATGTACGTTCTCCTTTACTGTGAGTCCCAGTAACTGAACTGTTTCTAATGTGGAGATCGTGCTCAGAATAAAAACATCTGTGTAGTCCGATGTGTCCTAAACTGGTCAGTGTTTACAAGATTAAAGAGAAACTGCTCTTCCGTGCTCTGTTTGTCTTGTTTCTTTGTTTGCTGTTGAGACTGTCACCACGTTAAGTCCTGGCTGTCCTGGAACTCGGAGATCTGCCTGTTTCTGCCTCCTAGGTGCTGTGACTAAGGTGCTCACCACCACACTGGGATATTGTTCACATGGAATGTGCCTCGGTGTTTGCCACTGATGTTATGCTATTTGCATTGTTAATCTTTTTTATTCTTTTCTGGCTTTGAAGAAGGAATGATGAAGGACAGCATTTCTATCACTGCCTGAAGTTCTATCGCACAGTGCCATGCTTTTGGCATTCTCAGAATTGTAGCTCTCCTTGGTCCAGGGCTCTTCTTCACTCTGTCTTTAAGGTTGCTTTATTTCTGCCTTAGGGTGCCAGCCTTCCATGCCCCACCCCCATTTGAAACAGCGCCTCATTATAGAGTTCTGACTGGCCTGGGACTCACAGATTAGTGTTCCCTGATTCTTGATTGTTAAGATTAAAGGGGGTTCCCACCATGCTCAGTTTGTCTTTTTTGTTTGTTTGTTTTTTAAGTTGTGTTAATGTGCATGAGTGTGTGTATGTGTGTGTACCACGTGCGTGCAGGAGCCCACAGAGATCAGAAGAGGGGTTGAATCTCCTGGAGCTGGAGTTACAGATGGTTGTGAACTACTACTTGGGTGCTAGAAATCGATCTTGGGTCTCTGGTTTGGTAGGGTTTTATACATACATACATACATACATACATATACATATGTGTATATATATATAATTTTATTTAACTGGTGAATTTATAAGATCTAATTGGAAATTTTTTTGCTTTATTTTCTCAAGCTTGTGCTGTGAGTGTGGTGTTCCAATTAGTCCAAATCCTGCCAATGTTTGTGTGGCCTGTTTACGAAGTAAAGTTGACATCAGCCAAGGTGTTCCAAAGCAGGTCTCCATTTCTTTCTGCAAACAGTGCCAAAGGTATAGTATAGTACATTAGTTGTTTAGCTTTCTTAAGTTTTAACTCATGCAGAGAGAGAGAGAGCCCCTGTGCTGAGAATACACCAAAGTACACAGAAGGAAGCATGTGCAATTGGGATTTAACTTCTACTTAGGTTGATGGTACTAAGGATTTAATAATTTGCAACTTTATAGTGTGTGTTCTACGGTCCTACTCATCTGGTAAAGATGATAAAGGTATTTGTATAAATAGCATTTTGAAGTTGACAGTAGAAGATGACTTCTGAGAGCTGATATTTCATTCGTCTTTGGTTTCATTCTCTTAGTTGTTGGTGTAAGCTATTTACATCTGGTGGTCCATTGAGAGACACAAAACTTGCTGGTGAATATGAAAATTATATGCCTGTATTTTCCCAAATAGCAATTGGCTTTGTTTATATGGAGATTGTCTGGACCTTCCCAAGAATTCAAAAATGTGTCTCCCCAGAATAATATCTCTGTGTGCACATATATAAGTCCATGTACTTAGTGTATTATCTCAGGCAGTTTACAGTGTTTAAGCCTGATATGAGGCTGCTGATTTGTTATAAATGTTTAGTATTAGACAAAGAATTGGGACACCTAGTTTATCTTGGATTTCTTACCAACTAGTTTTCTGTACGGCTTAGATATAGTCTCTCTAAGTCTGAACTTCTCATGAGAATGAAGGGATTTTATTAGATGATAGGTAATATTTGAAAGTATTATAAACATGGTTTTTATTGAACCTTGAAATGTGTGCCCCAAGCTTGGCTAACTAAGGCTTATTATGAAAATTTGTTTTTCAGCTTAAAAATTGAAATAGAATTTGGTGTCGAAATGTTGTTGATACACAGTACTATGCTGTACTGTTGCTATTTTTTTGTCTGTGAGAAATTAACATTTCTTAAACATTTTTGAAGTAGAAAATAAACAATTTTAGTGTAGTTTTCTGTTGATTTTTATGTGTCAGTATAGCTTCTAGGAAATTTTGGGCTTTTTGCCGTCCTTATTGGAACTTGTAAAAATTTTATTTTTATTTTATTGGTGTATGTGTGGGCATGTGCATAGGAGTGCAATGCCCTGAAAGCCAGGGGCATCGAATCTCCTTAGAGCTAGACTTGCAGGCATTTGTGAGCTGCCAGTATTGAATGCTGGAAACCCAGCTTGAGTCTTCTTAACTGCTGAGCCATCTCTCCAGCCCTCCTCACTGGAATTTTGTATTTTTTTTTTAACATTTTTGGATTTGTTTTGTATGTATGTGCACTTTGTTGTCAAAGGACAACTTGGACTTGGTTCTCTTCTTCCACTGTGTGAACTCAGATTGTCAGGCCTGGCAGCACGCACTTTGATCTCTGAGCTATCTTCGGTGCCTCCTAACTGCGATTTTACTAATTGAGGTGATAAAACAGATAGTAGATATCTCATATTGGCTTTCTCAGAATTTCAGTTTTGAGCTAAAGACAGTGGTCTTTCATGAGGTTTTTAATCTTTTGGATTAAGGTTTCAGAGTAGCTTTGAGTATTGGTTCTGGTTAATAATCAGTGTAAGTTATGCAGGGCCTAAAGAAATGAATGGCAGACTTAGTGTGTTATCTTCTTTCAGATACTTTCAGCCGCCAGCATCATGGATACAGTGTGCTTTAGAATCCAGGGAGCTTCTTGCTTTGTGCTTGAAAAAAATTAAAGCACCTCTAAGTAAGGTAGGTGGGATGATTAAAACACTCAATTTCAGAAAATCCTTCCGTGTGGAATTTGCTTTGTTTTGGTGACTGCTGTTTTGTTTTGCTCCTATTTTTCTTTTCCTTTCATCTACTTTTTGGTGCTGGAGATTAAACCAAGGACTTTGCCCATATTTGCCAGGTACTCTACCTCTGAGCCATTTTGCTAGTCCCATTACAAATGTTTTGATCACACACACTTAATTTTTATATTGCCCTTTATTCAGCAGTAATATTTTTATTTATTAGAAAAATTTGGGGACTTGTTTGTTTTTATTTTGTGCGTATGGGTGTTTTGCCCGCATGTATGTCTGTGCATTATGTGTGTGCAGTGCTTTTGGAAGCCAGAAGATGTTGTTGGGATCCCCTGGACTGGAGTTCCAGATGCATGGGAGCTGGGAATTGAACTCGGGTCCTCTGGAAGAACACTAAGTGCTCTTAACCACTGAGCCATTGCTTCAGCTCTAGCAGTAATACTTTTAAGGTCTGGAATCTTTCAAGCTCTTGATTTATTTGTCTAGGTTTTTTTTTTAATTGTCTGGAGGGAGACAGTGTAGTTATGAGAACTAGAAGGGAAAGGAAAGAGATGCTCCATTGACTAGAGAACATAGTAAAATGATTTTAGGGTTGGGTAGATGGGGGCAGAAGAGACTGAAGAACCATATGGAAAGGTGACTGACCGTTAGGGTAAAGGACAAAGGACGCGATACCATTGGCAGTGGCCTGTCTAAGGAGAAGTGTGGTGAGCCTTCAGAGTCTCCCCACTCTGCAGGTGGAGGTTAGAGCCTTTCGACAGAGCACAGGCCTCTTTAGTGCTGTGTACATTTCCTCCTCCTAACTTCCACAGAGAGAAATGGGGGGTGGTGGCAGCGGTGGTGTGGAGGACTATAAGATTGCGGGGTGTTGGTTAGGAAGCTGCTCATTTTCTGTTTGACTTGGTTTCTTGACTACTGGGATTTGCTGTAGCCTCCTCAGTCACATTGGGTGGGTTTTCCGCTTTAGTACTGCATCTGCCGTGGCTAGTCTTTTCTCACCAGGCAATATTTGATACAATTTTAATCTGCTTGCTCACACTTTTTAGTCTGTTATTTAACAGATTTCTCCCTGCACCTCCAGACCAGTATCATACTGTGTGTGTCATAGATGTCATGACGCGATCTTTCTCTATTAAACCTGTTGCTTATTTGTGTCAAAAAAAAAATGGTATTATCTAGCTGTCTAAGCAGGATACTTGGACTCTGTGCTGGTGTATGTTCTCTTCTTTCTAATCTATAGATATTAAATCTATAGAATTATCTCCTAAGTAGCTGCTCTTGCTTCTCTTATTTCTGGTTCCTCTTAGTTCAGGTTTCTACTCAGATTATTACAAAGGCTCCATCTTGTTCTCTCAGTCTTTTTGTTCAAAGTTCTCATTCTAGCCTGTTTTATATTCAGTTCATCAAGATTAGCAAACTGTTTTTAGTTCCTTATCTGTCAGTGAGTGTTACAGTTATGTAGTCTATAGTAATACGGGCAGCGGGGCTGCGTCCCCAGCACCCCAGCAGTCCGCACAGCTATCTTTACCCGAAATAACAACACACAAACTGTATTCATTTAATCACTGCTTGGCCCTTTAGCTCTAGCCCTTACAGGCTAATTCTCACATCCCGATCAACCCATCTCTAATAATCTGTGAGCACCGGTCTTACCGGGAAAGATTCAGCATGTCTAACCTGGCGGCTTGCTTCATCGTGTGTGTCTGCCCAGGAGAGGAGAGGATGGCGTCTCTCTGAGGCGTCTGCTCCTGAGGGGAGAGCTGTGGAGTCTGAGCTCACTTCCTCTTCCTCCCAGCGTTCTGTTCTGTTTACTCCTCCCACCTATCTCTAACCAATGAGAGCCAAGCAGTTTCTTTTTATTTAACCAATGACCTTCCTCCATCAGTAGTCAGTACATGAATACTTCTCAAATGAATGTCCATTTTTTTCTTTCTTAACTTATTTTATGTACCTTGGTGTTTTGCCTGCATGTATATCTGTGTGAGGGTGTCAGAAGCCCCAGAACTGGGGTTATAGACAAGTGTGAGCTGCTGTATGGGTGCTGGGAATTGAACCTGGGTCCTCTGGAAGAGCAGCCAGTGCTCTCAACCACTTTCTCTCCAGCAAATGTCCATTCTTAGAAGGGGAGGAGGGAAATCTATAGTCCAACATAGAAAGATACTAACTTGAATAGACGCTTTTATTTACGGAATAATTGTGTTTCTTTTGCATAATGAAGTCATCAGTTTGTTATTTAAAAAAATTTATATTTATATATTTTAAGAGTAGTAGCTTTTTTTATATAGTTCTTTCTTGGCTCACTGTGCAGCCAATGGGTTGCCCTTTCATGTGCTGCTTTTGTTGCCATGGCTTTAGTGATAGACCTTTTATTTGTTTGTACTGAGTGTTGTAATGATGTTAACCCCATGTTCCTTCAAAGATCTGAGTTGTTTATGAATGAGGTATTCATTCATCTTTCCATCTCTCAGATGGGGACTTAAGTTTCCGTTCTTTTCTTCAATATTTTATGAAGGTTCGCCTTGTTGATGCATGCTTTGTTTGGACTGAGCCCCATTCCAAGAGGCTTAAAGTTAAATTGACAATTCAGAAAGAGGTAAGCTATTCATTTTTCCTTTAATATGGTTAAAATAAAAGTCATGAGAATGAGGGACTAATGTTAAATTATTTTATGGACTAAACGCTTTAAAAGGAAGAATATAATTTAAATCTTAGTCTTTTATTATCTTTTAATCATCTGACTTATAATTGGGTCAATTAGTGGATTCAGTAGTCTCGTTAAAGGTTTTTTTTTTTTTTTAAAGATTTATTTATTATGTACACAGTGTTCAGCCTCCATGCCTGCAGGCCAGAAGAGGGCACCAGATCTCATTACAGATGGTTGTGAGCCACCATGTGGTTGCTGGGAATTGAACTCAGGACCTCTGGAAGAGCAGTCAGTGCTCTTAACCTCTGAGCCATCTCTCCAGCCCCTCGTTAAAGGTTTTGTTTTTGTTTTAAGTTAGGCTCTCACTAGGTAGCCCTTGCTGGTCTAGCGCTTACTAAGTAGAAATCCTCCTGCCTTTGCCCCTGAGTGCTGGCATTAAAGACAGTGTGCACCACCATGCCCAGCCCTCAGTTATTTTTAGCAGCTGTATGTTGTTGGTGCCTGTAATCCCAGGGTTGTGAGGACTAAAATTCAGTTCCTGGCACCAACATTGGGCACCTTTCAGCCACCTGTAATTCCAGTTCCAAGGGATCTAGCACTTATTTCTGGCCTCCATGGCTGCCTGCACTCATGTGCACATCTATACACAGTTAAAAGTTAAAACTTTTTAGAAAGCAAAAATAATTAATTTTAAAAAGATTGAAGGCCGGGCGGTGGTGGCGCACGCCTGTAATCCCAGCACTTGGGAGGCAGAGACAGGCGGACAGGCGGATCTCTGTGAGTTCGAGGCCAGCCTGGTCTACCAAGGGAGTTCCAGGACAGGCTCCAAAGCTACAGAGAAACCCTGTCTCGAAAAACCAAAAAAAAAAAAAAAGATTGAAGTTAAAACATTAGGTAAGACTGATTCTCAAGTTTGACTTATTATCTTATATCACAGTAGCAGAATCAGAATCTCTGGATTTGTTTGTTTATTATTATTTTCCTGAAGTACTAAAGATCAAGCCTAAGGTCTCAAGTGTGCCAGGTGAGCTCAGTACCATTAAGCTTTGTATACTCCTAGACTGTATTTAGAAAGCTTCCCAGGCAACTGTTTGTGGAGAATTTCCTTCTTACTAGTCTTCTAAAAGTGAATTCTTTGTGCGTCACACACATAGGCACACATGCATATATACACAGCATGTCCACATATATATAACTTTAAAAAAAATTTAGGTTGAGTTTGCAAACTCAGTATATAGCCACAAATCCTGCTCTTCTTCCCAAATGCTGAAATTTTAGGTGTGTGCCAGCATGCCAGGCTTATACGGCAGTGGGAATATAGTGTGACAGACAGGCGCTCTCCCAGTCAAGCCACATCCCTACCCCCAAGTTTTTAAAAAAATATGTTCACAACCACTTTTTCTAGAGGTAAACTTAAAATGGTAATCTAATACTTGGAATTCATGTGTACCTTTCTTAAAACAGTATAACTTACCACTGGGGTGAGTGTTATAGGAAGGCTGTGTGTTTGTTCCTGGTTGCCCAAACCCGAAATAATGTGTGAACATTATATTTATTAATTATAAAATATTTATATTTTTAAAATTTCTATTTATGAAATATTATTTACAACACTGCTTGGTCTATTAGCTTATGCATATTTCTGGCTAACTCATATCTTAAATTAACCCATCTTCATTAATCTGTATTCCCACAAGACTGTGGCTTATCAGTTCTGACGTCTGTCTCCAGCGGGGCTACACAGCTTTTCCCTGATTTCGTCTTCTTTCAGCATTCAGTTTAGTTTTCCCCACATAGCTCTACTCTTTTGCCCTATCACAAGCCAAGACAGTTTATTAACCAATGGCATTCCCAGCATATGGAGGGAAATCCCACATCAGGGAAGTAGCTCAGTGGTAGAATGCTTGGCCAGCGTGCATCAGGCCCCATGTTCAATCCTTGTATGTTCCCTCTCTCCTCCCAAAATAGGTAGTATAGCCTAATTTTATAATTTTAACTTTAGCTTACTGGTGTCCTTAATGCATTCAGAGAAAAAAGTTTCAAATTACTTATTTTTCTTCTTGAATAAAGAAAGCGGTCCCTATTGGACAGAGCTGTAAGAGTAAAGGAGTGCAATTGCTTTCTTTTCCAGGTGATGAATGGTGCTATCCTTCAGCAAGTGTTTGTGGTCGACTATGTTGTTCAGTCCCAAATGTGTGGAGACTGCCATAGAGTGGAAGCTAAGGATTTCTGGAAGGCTGTGATTCAAGTCAGGCAGAAGGTACTGAAGACACATAACGAGTGAATTCTGCAACATGAACTTAGCATTGCCCATTATAAATAGCTGATAAACCCTTCTTTGTTCCCTTGATGTATGACCAGAATCTAGGTTTCTGGAACATTCAACTTTGGAAATACATCACTATTTTATGTTTTAGTTAATTTTTTTAAAAAAGATTTATTTATTTATTTATTATGTATACAACATGTGTGCCTGCAGGCCAGAAGAGGGCACCAGGTCTCTTTACAGATGGTTGTGAGCCACCATGTGGTTGCTGGGAATTGAACTCAGGACCTCTAGAAGAACAATCAGTGCTCTTAACCTCTGAGCCATCTCTCCAGTCCCGTTTTAGTTAATTTTTAAAAGATGTTTTTGTTTGAAAAATCAGTGTGCTATATCTGTAGATGATATATGTGTACTATACTTATTAATGTTTTTTGGCATATAATGTACTGATTGTTAATGCATGGATGTTTAGACTCTTCACAAGAAAACGTTCTACTATCTGGAGCAATTGATTCTGAAATATGGAATGCATCAGAATACACTGCGTATCAAAGAGATTCATGGTGAGTTCAAATTGAAAAGAATTGGAAACTATCTAAATTTTCTTTCAGTTATCCCAAATAACATTGTCTTTCTCAGCTTTTGAAGCAATTGCAAATTCTTTTAAAAAAATCATGTGCATATATGTACACGTGTAAAAAGAAATTCTTTTTTTTTTTTTTTTTTTTTATTTTTATTTTTTGAGACAGGGTTTCTCCATAGCTTTTGGTTCCTGTCCTGGAACTAGCTCTTGTAGACCAGGCTGGCCTCGAACTCACAGAGATCCGCCTGCCTCTGCCTCCCGAGTGCTGGGATTAAAGGCGTGCGCCACCACCGCCCGGCTTAAAAAGAAATTCTTAATTTAATATCTGCATTATGCATGTTGCTTAATTTAGGAATTGAGTTTTCTTCTGTTAGCTGATACTAAACACACATGTTAGTGGCTATTGTGGATAACACGTATCTAGAACTGTTTTTTTTTCTATGGTGATGTACCTCTGTCCCAGTTCATTTATTAAGCATTTAGTTTATGATAGATGCCATTCTTTGTCCTTGGAATATAATGCTATATTAATATTAGTTCTTGCCCTCTATGTGTTGTTCATCTTGAAGAATAAGCCAGTGACTCCATTAATGCAGTGTAAAGAAATAAGAAACTCATCAAGAACTTGTTTCATATGGGAAAGATTGCTCTGATTGGAAGATCTCTTAAGTTCTACTTTTTCTCTGTATTTTATGTGCTGAGAGGTAATGTGTGATAGATAGAATTCAGTATAAACTCAGTAAATAAAGAGGGATAAATACATAGTGAAGTATCTGAATGGAGTTCTGAAACAAAAAATTTCATGGTAGTTTCTAAGTTCTGCCTCAGAATATGCTGGGTTTTGTTTGGCATGGTTTCTTTGATGGTGGCTGGGATGGCCATCTGGGTTTCATGTGACTGCCCTGAATGACACTGTAGGCTTATAGCATTCACTGTAGATGCAGCATACTTTTATATATATTTGATGGCAATGCCATAGTTCTGAAATTGATAATTTAAAATTTAAATATTTTGAAGCAAACGCAAGATTCCTGCTACTAATAGGTTTTGGTTGGTGTTATTGTTAGACAAGAGTTGTTTTTCTAAGTCACTTTTTAAAATACAGGATTTCTGATGGTGACTGTTCTTGAAGAAATGACCAAAGTCCTTAAAAGAGAAAGCAGTATCAGTTATGTGAAAACGTAATCTGTGCCTCTACGTTGAGAGTATTACTGGTAGGCATAGGGTTGTCTGCATCATGAAACAATTTAGTGATACCTTGTCTTAGTTAGGGGTTTCTGTTGCTGTGAGGAGACTCTATGGCCACGACAACTCTTACAAAGCCTTTAATTGGGGCTAGTCAATGGTTCAGAGGTTGTTAATGGTGGGAAACTGGCTTGCTGGCAGACATGGTACTGGAGGGGTACCTGGGATTTCTATATCTGGATTGGCAGGCAGCAGGAGGAAGAGACATTTGGCCTGGCTTGGGCATCTGAAATCTCAAAGACCTCCCCCAGTAACACACTTCTTCCATCAAGGGTATGCCTCCTAAAAGTGCCATTCCCTATGAGCCTGTGGGGGCCATTTCCATTCAAACCACCACACTTGTGTACACGATTCCTTTATTGATTGCCTAATCCCTTGGGAAAAGTGTGCTGAGTAATGCCTGATGAAGAAACTCAAAGCTGGGTGTGGTGTTGCATGTCTGTTGTCTTGGTACTTGGGAGTTGGAGGCAGGAGGAGTGAGCGTTTGAAGGTTGTCCCCTGTATAAGCCTGCCTGGGCAACATGAGAGTCTGTTGGATTGCTTGTTTGCCTTCAGTTCATTCATATTCTAGCAAAGGACCATAGTAGAAATTATTCTCACAGAATGTTTCGTTGGCAAAAGACTAAATTCATTTTTAAAATTACTGCCAAAGCCCCAGTGCTGCAGGTTTAACAACCCTTCTTCTAGCTAAAGTCTTTTTTCGTCACTAATTTTTGACTTAAATGAGTGTTTTCCTTAACTTGTATATTAGTAACTTAAACGACATTGTAGTTGGAGTTGGAGAGATGACTCCTCAGGGAAGAGTGCTAGCTGTTCTTTTAGAGGACTGGAGTCTGGTCCAAGCACCCATTTTCACTGGTTTAAAATCCACCTTCAATTCTAACTCCAGGCAATCTAATGCCTTCTTCATCGTGTAGGCACCTTGCACACGTGTGTACACAAACATACACATTAATAGAAACAAAGTATGTATTTAAAAATAATTCTAAACATTCAAATCGTATAGAAATTATCCTTATTTGTCCATCTCTAGAGATAATGTAGTTCCTTAAAACAGTGTACTCTGTAACTTGTCGGTAGTTGCTCTCATGAAGTGCTCTGTGACTCTGAATGCTTTGAACTGTTTGGAAGACTTTCAGGAACACTGCATTTACTTCCATTTAATTATTTTTAATTGTTCTCTGATAGTCCTTAGTTAGTGGACTAACTGAGTTAGTTAAATAAATAAATTGATTTATTAGTAGACTTATATTTTACTTTTTGCTGCTGGAAATAGCAGTGAATAACTATCCTTTTGTTCATCTTTGTGTATATGTGGTGGTTTTTCTTGGGAATTGATTTAAGAATTGCTGGGGCTGGAGAGATGGCTCAGTGGTTAAGAGCACTGCCTGCTCTTCCAAAGGTCCTGAGTTCAATTCCCAGCAACCACATGGTGGCTCACAACCATCTGTAATGAAGTCTGGTGCCCTCTTCTGGCCTGCAGGCATACACACAGACAGAATATTGTATAGATAAATAAATATTAAAAAAAAAAGAATTGGAATTGCTGGACAGGAGAATCCAAATATAAACTTTGATGTCCCATAACAGTGCTAGTATACTACTTTCCCAGCACCAGTGAGCTTTTCATTTTTCCTGACACTTGCTGGTAATGCTTAGAACTGGGTTGGCCTTTCTAAATTTTGCACACATGATGGCATATTGTTTTAATCTGTACTTCTTGATTAGTAATAAGGGATAAAAGTTTTCTTATGCATTTAATTGTTTTGTTTCTAGTGTGAGTCATCTGTTGTTAGTTACCTTCACTCATGTATCTAATTTGTCTTGTTTTGTATGTGTTTTTAGGGTGTTGGTTACCTTCGGCACTAAGAATAATACTTGTTGAAGTCAATTTTCTTTTTTTCCTTTTCTCATATTTTTAAAAATTTTAAAACATTTTCATACATTACATTTTATTTGTATTCTTCCCTCCCAACTTCTTTCAGATGCTGCCTTCCAACTTCATGTTCTTTCTCTCTCAGCTGCTCTGATCTCAGAGTCTCGTTTGTAGCTTAGCCCTGCCTACTGTGGCATACAGGGTGCTAGTGAACGTGGCTAGTTTTAGGGGTGAAGCTATTTTGAGTTGTTTACCTTCCTGTTTACTATGCATCCCTGCAGGATGGAATGTTTTAATCTTGGGAAACTGTATGCAACACCATCTAATCAAATTCTTTCAATTTTTAGTCATGCTTTTTTTATACTTGAGGATTGTTAGTCAGTTTAATTAAGGTAACAGAAATATCCCATTTTTTAGATGCTTTACTTTTGCGGGGAGGAGGATTTTCGAGACAGGGCTTCTCTGTGTAACAGCTCTGGCTGTTCTGGAACTCGCTTCATAGTTCTGATCTTGAACTCACAGATATCTGCCTGCCTCTGCTGCTTCCCTAATGTTGGGATTAAAGTTGTGCACTACCACCCCCCAGTTTATGCTTTATAATTTTAATTCGTAGTTGGGTCCTAACTCTTTAATTGATGCAAAGTATCTAAATTCGTCATTTATCAGTTAAATGCCGTTGATCCTCTTTTAAGGTCTTTTGATTAAATAAGGTCTTTTTCTGCAATCTCAAGTTTGCATGAACTTTTATAATAGCCTCATGCTGTCTTAATTTCATATAAGTCCTGTGAATTTGCTCTTTTCCCTCAATATTGTCCTGGCTATTGTGAGTAAATTTAATTCTTATTTCAGTATCTCATAAATATTCCTTAGCAGTAGACTTCCTTTTGGCTGTCCCTTTGTTGGTAGTGTAAAATGACACTTCACTGGCTAGATAATGCCATCTGGGGCCTACTTTGTTCACTTTCCTTGTGGGTTAGCTAGGACGCTTGTCATCATATTGGTAGACTGTTCCAGTTATTACGTAAAATATTCTTTTCCTTTTGTCTCATGGTCTTGAATTTTGTTCTTGTGACTTAATGTGAATCTTTTCATTTTTTAGCTTCTTATCTGATTTTTTGTCTGCCTTTTTGACAACAGTTCTTAATATCCCCAACATGTTTTGGCTATACAATTTTCTAATAATATATTTTACTTATGGGTTTCATTTGTGATGTGGCCATGTTAGAGGAAGGCCTTATTTTATAGAACCATTTTTATTATATTTTTAGATGGTTTGGATTTCTACTATTCTTCAAAACAACATGCTCAGAAGATGGTGGAGTTTCTTCAGGGTGCAGTTCCCTGCAGGTACGTTGTGAACCTAAATGTCTAAATAAGTCCCTGGATCAGGGAATAGGACATATATAGGTCACATCTTTTCCTCAGGCTTAGATAACTTACTTTGTTAAAATTAAAATTTTGCACGACTATTTAAACAGTCGTGAAACATTGAGTTATCCATTTTATATTAGCCAAATAGTGCTGAAGAATCTTTTGGTAGCTAAACCTAACTTCATAATAATGAGCAATGTAAGGCTGGGCTATAGAAGAACGAGAGAAGAGCTAGGACTTCAAGATGAGGGAAATTTTCACAAGCTGAGTTTATATTGAAAAATGAGATTAGGAGGAACATTAGTGTGGATTAGAGTGTAGTCATTCTGATGGAAGTTTGAGATGTTGTGGATAAAATTAAGCTTTGCCCTGTGTTCTAGTTTCATGTCTGTTGCTGTGATAAATCCCCCTGACAGAAAGCAGCTTAGAAGAAAGGGTTTATTAAGCTTCCAGTTGTTACAGTTCATATCATGGATAAATCAAATCAGTGAGTCATATCTTATCCAAGAGCAGAGAAATAAATATGGACATGCTTGCCCACTTGCTTGATTATTTCTTCTCAGCTCGATTTCTCTGTGCTCAAACAGTTCAGGGCCCTCTGCCTTGGACAGTGGTTCTCAATATTCTCAGTGCTGTGACTCTTTAATATAGTCCCCCATGCTGTGGTGACCCCAACCGTAAAGTTACTTCACTGTTACTTCTTAACTGTAATTTTGCTATTGTTATGAATTATAATGTAAATATATGATATGCGGGACCCACAGACTGAGACCTGCTGACCTAGGGAATGTGCCACTGTGGGGCCAGGTCTTCCCATATCAATTTACTCAATAAAGACAGCTCCCCAGAGGCAAATTTACATGTTCATAGACCAGCCCAGTTCTTCTCTGTACTTGATTCTAGGTTATGTCAGGTTGACAGTTAAAGCCAACCACACCATTAGAAAGCCGTGTGAAGACATTAGACTTTGATTTGATGAAAATTGATGTCCCTTACTTTATACAAGGAAGGATCTGTCCCTTTCTATTAATACTATTTTTTTTCTTAATAGATACAAAGCATCACAAAGATTGATCTCCCAAGATATCCATAGTAACACATACAATTACAAGAGCACTTTTTCTGTTGAAATTGTTCCAATATGCAAGGTACCTCTTTTTATGTAATTAATTCATATCTGTAAGAGAATAGTAATTAATTGGTTATATATAATTTATTGCCCCTGGTTTCCTACTGGCTAAAAATTAAGAATAGCTTCCTTCAATTATTTTTGACATGCTCAGCTTTGTTTAAAAAAAAAATCCAAAATCTGTGTTTATAACTATGGGTTGGAATGCTCTTCATTTTGGTGTATTATGATGAAAAGATTGGACTGGGGAGATGGTTCATCCTTTTTAAAGTGCTTGCCGTGCAAACTTGATGACTTGAGTTGGATCCCTGGAGCCCAGATAAAGAGAACCAGTTCCACATAGTTGTCCTCTGATGTCAGCATGTATACTTGAATATGTGTGCATGTGTGCACACACAAATTGATTGTAAAATTTTATAATCCAGTCTTATTAAAAGTTGGAATCTTGGGCTGGGCGGTGGTGGCGCACTCCTTTAATCCCAGCACTTGGGAGGCAGAGGCAGGCGGATCTTTGTGAGTTCGAGGCCAGCCTGGTCTACAAGAGCTAGTTCCAGGACAGGCTCCAAAGCTACACAGAGAAATACTGTTTCAAAAAAATAAAAAGGGAATCTCAGTGGACATACAATAATTTCATGAAACGTTCATCTATAAGAAATGGTAGTTAAAAAGATCAGTGAGCCACTTTGGATTATGTGTGGGTAAGATTTTTGTATATACACATTAGTGTTTGTATACATAGATGTGTACAGGTGGAGGCCAGAAGTCAGTTTTAGGTGTCTCCATAAATTGCTGTCCATTGTATTTCTTAAGATAGTTTCTCAGTGTACCTGGAGCCAACTAATTAGTCTGGATTAGCTGGCTAATGAGCCGCTGCAATCTGCGTGTCTCTACTTCGCCACTTCCAGGCTTACAACTTTTTTTTTTTACCTGAGTGCTGAGAATCTGTATTTGGCTTCTGCTGTCTTTCTAGCTTGGCCAACAGGATTTTGACTACAGTATTAATGGAAATGAGATCATAGAATCGTCTTTACTTGTAAACATTTCAATAAAACATTTAAAACATACATTATCATTTCATTTAAATGTACTAAGATAAAGCACTTTTAAAAAATAAATGAGTAAAATCCAACAAATAACTTGGTCTGCTGGCGCTTGCCTTTAATCTCTGTATTTGGGAGGCAAAGGCAAGCAGATCTCTATGAGTTTAAGGTGGCTAGTCTACATAGTGACAAATGGGCTCAACTTAAGAATGTACAGAGTGTTTCCATTTCTCTAAGGTGTAACTTTTATCTGCAGGTCCTTTATTGGCCCAAGATGAAAAATAATGTTGTGGAGCCAGGCATGGTAGTGTCCTCTAGGCAGAATCAGACTTGATAATTCTTGTCTGGTCCATCCACAAATTCAGACAGTTTTGTCAGGTTTACTAATGAGTGTTTCTCAAAGGCAGCTAACTGAGAATTGCCTTGTTTTAGATGTTACTTCTTTTTGTCTAGGATAATGTTGTCTGCCTATCTCCAAAACTGGCACAGAGTCTTGGAAATATGAGCCAGATATGTATTTGTATTCGAGTAACTAGTGCCATCCATCTCATAGACCCCAACACCATGCAAGGTAAGCTTTGTCCTCTGTGGTAACAGCAATCACTCACGGCCTTTATATTGATATCCCCCATACTCATTTTTTTTCTTTTCTTCTTTTTTTATGAGACAAGGTCTCATGTAGCCTAGACTAGCCTTAAACTCTACATGTATTCAAAGATGACCTTCAGTGCCTGAGCCTCTTCCCTCCACCTCCCCAGTGCTAGGATCACAGAGGTGTGCCCTGAAACCAGGTTACATGCTATTGGAGATATGCCAGCCAAGCATCTGCTAAGTGAGCTGCATCTCCAGTCCCAAATGTTACTCTTGATAATATTATTTTGAAAGACTTATAGTTGAGTTTAGTACTTTTAAATACTGCAATTAGCTGGGGTGGAGGTGGTGGTGCACACCTTTAATCCCAGCACTTGGGGGGCAGAGGCAGGTTGATATCTGTGAGTTCAAGGACAGCCTGGTCTACAGAGTGAGTGCCAGGACAAACTCCAAAGCTACACAGAGAAACCCTGTCTCACAAAAACAAAACAATACAGGAATTATAGAGCTTTTTGTTATTCTTCTTTTTTAAAGAAAATTTACTATGAACTTGTAGATAGTTCAGTTTTATTCATTTTCTGAAAATTTTCTGACTCATAATTTTGGTGACTAAGTCTTTTTGCCACATGTGTGTTTGCTCACATATTTGTGCCTGTTAGGCAGAGATTCTGCTGCTAAACTCTATGTCTAGCCTGCAAGTTTTAGTTTTTGAACAAGTATTTTAAATTTTGGGATATTTGAGCTGTGATCCAGTGAGGTACCTAGTTTAAGTAGGAATTTTAACTTTTCACCATTATTATGGGTCATTTTTAGTATATCTTTATAGAAATCTTTTTTTTAAGAAAGGAAGACTGCATAGTGATAGTCTTGATATTTGTCTCCTCAATCTTTTTCTTAAGTTTCTTATAAGCTTTTTGTATTTTGATACTTTTCAGAAACTCATTGATTATATTATCAGCTAAGGTCTGTTTGCAATAATAGGGTAGGGTGGGCATTCTTCCCTGTCACATAAAAGTAGGCTTTATGGCTTTTAACTTGAGCAGCTATGGTGACCAGTAGTTTTCTGTAATGAAACATCAGCACATGAAATCACCATAAAACTGATTGAATTTATTGTGTGGCATTCTGCTTACATAACCAAGATGTAAATAACTTTTTTTTTTTGAAAATTTTTTTCTATTTAAAAATTTATACTTCCTTCCCTCCTCCCATTCCCCCCGCCCCCCTCTCACCTCCCTCCCTCCCCCTCCCTGCTTAAAAGAGGACAGGGAACCCTGCCCTGTGGGAAGTCCAAGGCCCTCCCCCTTACATCCAGGCCTAGGAAGCTGTGCATCCAAATAGACTAGGGTCCCAAAAAGCCAGTACATGTAGTGGAAACAAGTCCCAGTGCCTTTATCAATGGCTTCTCAGTCAGCCCCCATTGTCAGCCACATTCAGAGAGTCCGGTTTATCACATGCTCGTTCAGTCCCGGTCCAGCTGGCTTTGGTGAGCTCCCCTTAGAATAGGCACACGATATAAATAACTTTTGACACCCGATATTTGTCTTGTGCTGTGGGAGGTTTGGAGCTCATATATGGAAATGAGCGATGACTTAGACTTCTGTTCCTGTTGGCCTGATTCTTCCTGTTGTTATAAACATCCTTCTGGTTAACACGTTTGATGACTTAGACATTTATCAGTAATCTTGTTTTTATGCTTGTTCTTAGTTGCCGATATTGATGGAAACATGTTCTGGAGCCACCCTTTCAATAGTTTATGCCACCCTAAACAGCTCGAAGAGTTTATTGTGATGGAATGCAGCATAGTCCGAGATCTGAAACGAAGTGCTGGGGCTGGAGTCCTATCAAAAAAAGTAAGCAGCATCTACCCATTCTTACTCTTAAAAGTTTTTGGTTTTCGATTGTTAGTAGTTATAAAATGTGGAGTCTAGATAAAGAAATATACCGTGAGGTTAGCTGTGAGGGCCAGAGGTGAGGCATCACTCAGCAGGTAAAAGTGAAGTCTCATGACCTGAGTCGGGTCCCTGGAATCGACTCTACAAAGTTTTCCTCTGGTCTCCAGGTGCTGTGGCATATGCCAGCACCCTGTCTTATACACACAGACACACAAATAAGAAATACAATTCCTTTAAAACGGAGTTGTCATCACTGGGTTTGGTAGAGCATCCCTTTAATCTCAACACTCAGAAGGCGGAAGAATTCAGATCTCTGAGTTTGAGCCAGCCTGGTTTGTATGTCAGTTACCAGGGCTACATACTGAGACACATGCTGACATACTGTCTCACAAAAAATGAAATTGAATGGATCATTGTGGTGAAAGTTGCTGAACTATAGTCTAAGTCATTTTCTTCTTTTTGTATTGGGAAAAAGGCTTTTTTTCTGTTTTTATTTTAAAAAATTCATTGTTCACATTTATTTTGGTGAGAGAGAACCAAGTGGACAATTAAATTTCTGAATCGTTACTGAATATGAAATCTTTTTTTATACAACATAGAATGCCTTTGAGGCAGTTTATCACTATGAGAACGTTTGGTCCACATTCAGATTCCTTCCTTTGTCTCAGAAGTTTGCTCAGACTAGCATCTAGGTGGGGAACACACATTAAACTGTGTGAATATTGTAATTCTTAAATCTTTTCTTCAGTGATAATACTTTTCTGTCTTGTTATGATACCAACTTCTTAAACAGAAAGAGTACATACCTTGTAGAATATACTACCTTCTGGGTCTCTATTCCTGTTTGATTATAGTGCCAATATAACTTGATTTTATTGTCTTTCTCTAAATTAGAAGAGCACCTGCGTTTTGACAAACATGTTTTTATGGGACTATTTCAGAGATGAGTGTACTTTTAGATTGTATTTGGGGAGGAGAGAGGCTGTTCATGTGCACATGTGTACCTGTAGAAGTCAGGACAACTTGAAGGAGCTGCATCTGAGCATCAGACTCATATCATTAGACTTGGTGGCGATCCTTGTTGTCCACTGAGCTCTCTCTCTAGCCCAGTGTGTGTGTGTGGGGGGGGGGGGGGTGGCTCACTGTTAGTGTGCTGGTGTCATTTGTAGGTTTTCTGAACTCTTGGTTAATTTGTTTGTTTTTAAGTCTTGGGTCTCACAGGCATTTGCTTGAACTGTTTTGTAGTGGGGAGCTGTGGGTCTGCTTTTCGTCCCGCCTGGCTCCCGCACAGCTAGCTTTACACCAGAAATAACAACGCACAAATTGTATTCTTTAATAAAACACTGCTTGGCCCATTAGCTCTAGCCCTTACCGGCTAATTCTCATATCCCAATCAACCCATCTCTAATAATCTGTGTAGCAACAGTCTTAACGGGAAAGATTCAGCATGTCTGACCTGGCGGCTTGCTTCATTGCATCTGCCTGAGAGAGGGGAGCATGGCCTCTGAGCTCACTTCCTCTTCCAGCATTCTGTTCTGCCTACTCCACCCACCTAAGGGATGGCCTATCAAAATGGGCCAAGGCAGTTTATTACCAGTGACCTTCCTCCATCACTATTTTCTGGCTTCATGATCCTTTTACCCTTCCAGTTACTTTTGTGCTCACTCTGAGTTAACCAGTCTCTCTCTGAAGCCATTTCCTTTGAAAGTGCTGTATATGTATGTTGCATGTTTGTTTTTTCAGGGGGTAATGGTAATTCCCAGTTTTGCATTGTTTATATGGTTTCGTTTGAAGACATTTTATATACAGGATTTTAGAATTCTGGAAAGTAGAAGGCAGTTCTAAGTGCATATTGAATAAGAAAAAAGTCAATTTTATATTTAATCTTTTCATGAAATGAGTCTTGAATTGTTCTGTTACTGACTCTTTTTCCTTTTCTGCTAAGCACACCCTTGGGGAGGTCTGGATCCAGAAGACATCTGAAATGGACACAGATAAGCAGTATTTTTGTCGGACTCACTTGGGACATCTTTTAAATCCTGGAGACCTGGTGCTGGGGTTTGTTTTATTTTGTTGTGTTTTAACTTGCCAGGTAGCATTGCAAGTTTTCTTCATAAGTCAATAAGATACTAAACTTGTTAATTTCAAAAAAAGATTTAAGAGGTCCTAAGAACCTTCTAGCTTATTTTATTATTGATAATTATAAAACCATGTATTGGACAAAAGCCAATAGTAGTTTCATTTGGGCCATCTTCTGAGTCAGTTATTTAAATACTGAATTTATATAGTTTGAATATTTATAGCTTTTTAATGGAAGTGGGTTGTTTAGGTGACTGTGGAAATGCTTCACTTTTTGGAAATAACCAGGGCTGAAGAGATGGCCCAGAGGTTGTGTGTACTGCTCTTACAGAGGACCCAGGTTCAATTCCCAGTCCTGCTATCAGGTAGGTCACAACTATTAGTTGCTCCAATTTTAAGGGAGCTGATGCTTCTGACTTCTAGGCACTTGCATGTATATAGTGTACATAAATGCATGCAGGCACATACACATAATAAATAAATTAATAAAACAACAGTCCTTTATGTCAGACAGCACCCATAAAAGTAAGTAACTGTCTGCATCTGAGCTTGTTAGTGTCCTCTAGACATGGACTTTGTTCTAGCAGTTTGAGCTCTGTTTAAAAGAAAATGAGAGGTTGTTGCTTGTTTTATAAACTTGCAGACTCAGTTGCATTAAGGCTGAAATTAGGGCTGCTGTGTTACTCCATCTTGTCCTTAACAAGTATATGGAAAGAGGGCACAAGGGACAGTGACAGTCTTAGTGTACAGTGTGTACCTGTCTGCAGAGAAGTATATGGAAAGAGGACACAAGGGACAGTGACAGGCACAAGGGACAGTGACAGTCTTAGTGTACAGTGTGTACCTGTCTGCAGAGAAGTATATGGAAAGAGGACACAAGGGACAGTGACAGACTTAGTGTACAGTGTGTACCTGTCTGCAGAGAAGTATATGGAAAGAGGACACAAGGGAGAGTGGCAGACTTAGTGTACAGTGTGTACCTGTCTGCAGAGAAGTATATGGAAAGAGGGCACAAGGGACAGTGACAGACTTAGTGTACAGTGTGTACCTGTCTGCAGAGAAGCATGTTCACCACATAGCATATTTCAGAACTGTTATTTACTATTTAAAAATTTTAAATTTTATGTGTATCTTTTTCTTGTATGAGTGTATGTGCCTGGTGCTGGGAGAGGATGTTGGATCCCCTGGAACTGGAGTTAAAATGGTTGTAAGCTGCCATGTGGTGCTGAGAATTGAACCTAAGTCTTCTGAAAGAGCAGCCAGTGCTCTTAACCACTGAGCCATCACTCCAGCCCAAAATTTCAAAACTTAAAATGAGGAGCATTCAAAAATTTTCTACTTAGAAAGATAGGTGTGTGTGTGTGTGTGTGTGTGTCCATGTGTCCATATATAGAGATGATATATATATAAAACAGAATTGCACACAAGTATACTTATTAAACTCTTCACTGTTTACATTTCAGATTTGATTTGGCCAACTGTAACTTAAACGATGAGCATGTCAACAAAATGAAGTCAGATAGAGTTCCAGATGTGGTAAGGCTTTAGGGTTTTGTGGGTTTTTTTTGTTTTGTTTTGTTCTTTTTCCTTTCCTTTTTTTTTTTTTTGTTTGTTTGTTTTTCCTGTGCTAAAGAGGATTGATAAGATTCTGAGGATTTATTCAGGGTACCCCTACCTCCAATAATCAGATTTTCATTTTCTTAGCAAAACACTTGATCCTGCCTGACCTGGTGGCACAGGCTTACAATCTCAGGTGTGCAGGAGGCTGATCTGAGAGGATCACAAGTTCAAGACCTATCTGGGCTAGAGAGTGAGTCTGAGTGAATTTAAGACTGGATTGGGAAACTTAATGAGACCCTGTCTTAATAGAACAGAAATGAACCAGAGGACTGGGGACATTACTCAGTGACAAAGGGCTTGCCTGTCATGCAGAATGCCCTCGCTTCAGTCTGCCAGTACTGCTGATAGAGGGAAAGTCAGTTTGCACCTGGAAATGGAGACTGAGTTTAGAGTTCATAAACAGCAGTAGATGAAGGATAGGACCCTGCTCCACTTGGTTAGTCTTTTCAGAATAAACATGAATTTCTTTAACTTTGAGCAAAAATGGAGTCCTAGTGATAGGAGGTCCCTATCTCATCTGGCTGTTCTTCAGTTGGTGACAGAAAAGAATTGGGTATGGGTCAGAGTGGGTATTTATTGTTTAGATTTATTGTTTGATCTGACATGTGTGAGTGTCTTGTTGGCATGTGTCAGTATCCACCATGTGTGAACAGTGCTGGTGGATGTCAGAGGGGGTGTCAGATCCCCTGGAACTGGAGTTACACATGGTTGTGAGCTACCATGTGGATGCTGGGAACTGAATCCAAGTCTTCCTCAAGAGCAGCAAGTGCTCTTAACTACTCAGCCATCTCTCCAGCTGCAGGATGGGCTCACGAGGAGATCACTTGTCATCTCAAAATTTTCTGTTTTCTAAAATTTTCACTATATAATTATTAAATGTTATAAAATTCATGTAAATTTTGTAAGTGCTTATTACTGTGAAAAAATGGAGTATCTGTCTGTAAATGTTTCAAAATGTGCTATATGAATGGTGACTGAAAAAATATAATAAAAACAATGCAAGTTTTTGGCATTAAAAATTTAGCATTTAGTCATTTGAAATTTTCACAGTTAGATAAATAATACTCAAATGCATTCTCATGAATACATAGTAAGAGTTTTAGACATCCTCTTGACACCTTTCTCCTGAAGTGTAACAACGGCCAACAGTTGGACTCCCTGGCATCCTGAAGTGTTGAATGTTTTCCCCTACTGTGTGTCTCTTTGCTGTAACTGCAGATATTTCTGTTACAGGTGTTAATTAAGAAGAGCTATGACCGTACCAAACGCCAGCGCCGTAGAAACTGGAAGCTGAAAGAGCTTGCGAGGGACAGAGAAGACATGGACACAGATGATGAGAGGTACTGCTTTCCTTAAGCTTGGGACTGTTCCAAGGGAGACCCTTGGAAGGTAGGCTTACGTTGTAAAGAAGTTGCTGTTACCTAATAGATTTTTCTTTTTTTTCTTGATATTTATTGAGCTCTACATTTTTTTCTGCTCCCCTCCCTGCCTCTCCCTTATCCCCTTTAACCCTCCCCCAAAGTCCCCATGCTCCCAATATACTCAGGACATCTTGTCTTTTTCTACTTCCCATGTAGATTAGATCTATGTAAGTCTCTCTTAGTGTCCTCATTGTTGTCTAAGTTCTCTGGGATTGTGGTTTGTAGGCTGATTTTCTTTGCTTTATGTTTAAAAACCACCCATGAGTGAGTACATGTGATAATTGTCTTTTTGTGTCTGAGTTCCCTCACTCAAAATAATGTTTCTAGCTTTATTTTCTTGCAAAATTCAAGATGTCGTTATTTTTTTCTGCTGTGTAGTACTCCATTGTGTAAATGTACCACATTTTCTTTATCCATTCTTCGGTTGAGGGGCATTTTAGATTCCTCTGTTGAGAGTTCTCTGTTTAGGTCTGTACTTCATTTTTTTAAATTGGATTATGTGTTCTTTTGGTATCCAATTTCTTGTTCTTTGTATATTTTGGAGATCAGACCTCTGTCTGATGTGGGGTTAGCGAAAATCTGTAGGCTGTCATTTTGTCTTGTTGACTGTGTCCTTTGCTTTACAGAAGATTTTCAGTTTCTCAAGCCAATAGATCTTTGTACTCAAATTAACTTAGGAAGAGAAAGTTATGAATGGAATCTCCTTAGGAGAATCCATAAAGGAATAAAATGACATTATACAACTTCAATAATCATTTCCTGGGTTATTGTCTTTTATAATTGCAGTGTTAATGAAAATAATTTAGTTTAAAAAGTTCAAGTATAAGCCGGGCGGTGGTGTCGCACACCTTTAATTCTTGATGATGATAAAAAACATTGCAAAAAAAGAAGAATTTATATTACTGGGAATCAATAACATTTCATGATGTAATTTAAAAATAACATACATATGTAGCATGTTATACTGTTTAGTAGTACACACTTGACTGTTTCAGCTGTAGTCTTAGCCTGGTGATATGACTCAGCAGCTAAAGACTCAAGCCGCTAGAACCAACATAAAAACTGAAGAGCAGGAAAGTTGACTGCTGTAGTTGAGAGTGCTTCCTGCTCTGTCAGAGAACTCAAGTTCAGTGCCCAGCACCCACATGGGGTGGCCATGGCTCCGTAGCTTCCAGTGCTCTACGGGTACCCTCACACTTCTGGCATAGACACATATACATGCACATGCACGCATAAATAAAAATAAATTGTTAAATCACAAAACAGAACACCCCAAATTAACTGTAGTCACTTGTCCCTGGGAATTGATTTGTGTGGTAGAATGGAGGTGAGAGGTATCTTTTCGTTGTCTTGAATTTAACACACTTTAATATTCAGCAGTTATATAATATTGTAAGGAAATTTGTTTCCCAGCCTACCTACTTAATTAGCAGCCATATTTCAATTTTGCAAATACTATAATACTTGAGACAGTGCTCAAAGTTTCTTTTTCTTGTAGGCAATATCAAGATTTCCTTGAAGATCTTGAAGAAGATGAGGCAATTAGAAAAAATGTCAACATTTACAGAGGTTAGTGTTTTAGGTGCATTGAAGTCGTGTTGTAGATAGTATCTGTGAGGATATTTTAAACTTACTTTTTATAAGTGACTTTTATTTGTCTTATAAACTGCTGTAGTTGGGCTTTAACCTACAGATAATTAAGGAACAGTAAAATTTCCTAAATATTGTTTGTTGTATACATAATGAAGCAATTGTTATCTGAGCCTGTTCCTTAAGTTGCTAGCTCTTGCATATTTAGTTTGTTCATTTATTTAGTATTTGAAAGCCTGCTGTAGTTAAGAGCTGAGAGCCTTAGTTAGTGCTGATGATGGTAGGGATAGTGGTTTGTGCGTGTCCATACTTGTACATGTGAAATATCCCCTCTTTCCTTAGACTCCACCATCCCTGTGGAGAGTGACACGGACGATGAAGGAGCCCCTCGAATTAGTCTGGCTGAGATGATTGAAGACCTTCATATTTCCCAAGATGCCACTGGTGAAGAAGGTGCATCAATGATGTCATGATGAGCCATGGTATATGCTGTTTGCGTGTCTGTGACCTCAGAAGTCAGCAAAATGATCATCATTGCATAGTACATGCATTCCTTTGAATTTTGAGAGGAGAATTTGGTCTTAAAATTGAATATATGACTATTTTGATTGTTCACTTACAGTATTGAAAGGTTTCATAGTTTGATGGTTAGAAAAAGCGCTGAGATGGAATGTAGTTGTTACTGATACTGAGGCATCTAATGCAGTTTTACCAGAGGAGCCGTAGTAGTTTTACCACTTTAGTGCTGGATTCAAAGACCAAGTTAGGATTCTTTGGATATTAGCCAAATATTAGAATATAAGCCAACCTCTTATATTTGTTTTATGTTAATTGCTTTGGCCCACTTTAAATAACTTTCATATCCTTGGGGTAGGGAAATGAAAGTAGTTTATCATAGGATAACAGGGAAGTTAATCATTTTATTTCTACATAGAATTAGTATCCTTACCCCTTTTCTCTCCCTTCCTGGGTTTAAACTCAAGGCTTGTACTTGCATAGTTGCTGTCCAGTCATTAGGCTATAACTTTAGCTTTATAAAAAAACTTAACTGAGGGTTATTTTAATTTTTATTTCAGTAGACTAAAATGTATTTAAATGTGTGTAGGTTTGTAGGGAGCACAGATCAGTTTTACAGGTTAAATAACAATTTGATATGTATTCTACTTTGGACAGCAGCTTAGGATGATAGCTTGCTTTTATTATAAAAAGTCTGTCCCTTGTATCAATGATATAATTTTTAAATTCGGGGTTTCAAGTTGAGAATAAAGACTATTTTTTCTCTCCACTTCTGCCATTGAACATAATGTACCACCGTCAGCAAGAATGATTGTAGATGATGGAAAACTACTTCTTAGTCAAGTAATTTGCTAAGGAAAATGTTCTATTAAACCAAGAGTAATGCCTTCCATATTCCGAAAGAAGAGTGTTGCTCGGGTTTAAGCATTTTGAAAATGAATTTTTATAACTTTGTTCCTACAAGATTTGGTAAATGCACCTCACTGAATGTTCTTTACTTAGTTTGTATGTACCATTAAGAATGAACTGTTTTTTAAGACTTGACTGCCTTGTTTTTGAAGTTAGGAGTAAAGGCCCAAACATCCTCCAGTCCTTCATTTCTGGATGTGTATTCATCTAAAAAGCATGTTCTGTCCTGGTGGTAGACTGATGGGGACGGCAGTTTGAGCATGACCATAGCAAGTTCTCACTTGTTCTACCACTGGTTGATTTATCAAGATTTTAAGGCAGTATTCATGCCCTTTTCTAAAGTGAAGTTGTTATATACCTAATGTGATTTTCCCACTTAAAAAATTTAGTTTCCCTCTAACCTTAGTCTTTCTGGAATAAAGATATCCAAAAGCTTGCAGAGTCAAGTAGCTTGCTAAATCTACCATTTCCATGAGTCCCATGGTACTCTGACTGTTCAGGTTGAAGTTGTTTATAGTCAGCTTTGTAAATTCTGTGATTATCATTGTATATAATGGAACACACACTTGAAAGCTGTTCCTTTCTTGTCAGAAGTCTGATGAGCAAGGAAGAAGATGAGGGAGAGTTGCTTTTGCAATTGAGATGTTTAGCAGAGTCAAGCTCATACCTTGCCAGAGTCTGGGGACTCCAGGGTGTGCTTCCTTAGTTGGTGTGAGTCAAGGTTCTTAATTTTAATAAATGTATTCATGATGACTTCTATCCTTAGATTGCTTGGTATTTAGTTGTTGTTGTTGTTGTTGTTTTTACCTAGCTTTCTAGTTCTGTTACTTCTAGCCCAAGAGATATTTTTAAAAATAACATTTACCCATAATTTCAGACTTACAGAACGGTACGAGAATAGTTTAGAGATTTCGTGGTTAACCTTAACCCAGATTTGGCAAGTGAAAAATTTATCTTGCTGGCTTTCTCTTTCCTTTCCTTCTCACTAGTTTTTAATTCCACCATTTCAGAGAATGGCTGGCCTTGGAGAGAGTGCTGGCTTAGCATGGCCAAACCCTGGCTTGAATGCCCAGCACCTCTACTCCTCTCTACCACCACCCTCCGCCCCACCAAAAAAAGAGAAGGGTGATGCTTTTTTTAGCGTTTGGCATGCCCAGCCAGCACTCAGGTGCTATGTGTGTCCCAGGATAGCTGTGTGGCCCAACATTGTGTCATGTGTTTAAAGGTTGGACAGCCCTGTCAGAGATGAGGGTTTTTCATTCTAAAAGCAAGAAATTATTTAATAATAATTAGTTTGTCATTCATAAATTAATAAAATTCTAAACTTTTACCCAATCGGTGGAATGCTGAGGTCTTGCCATTTGTCTCAGTAAAGTCCTTCGCAGATGTGTCCATGTAAGAGTCTGTGTTACATTAGCATCTCATGCCTCTCTGAGCTGGACCAGTCCTTAAGAGTATGTTTTATTTAAAGAGTACAAGGCAGTTATTTGTAGAATAACTGCAGGTTGGCTTTGTCTTCTTTTCCTGTGCCTAGATTTAGGTTATGTCATTTTGGGGTTGCTCGAAAGGGATGTCAAACCTGGTGCATTATCCTAGCATGAATATGCTGCCCATGAGTTCAGATGCTCCCAAACCTGGTGCATTATCCTAGCATGCATGTGCTGCCCATGAGTCCAGATGCTCCCAAACCTGGCATTGTGTTTTTGGCTTCCTGTTCTGAGAATGAGCTCTCACTCCATGTATTTCTTTATTCATTTTTAATATATATATATATATATATCTTTGTAGACTATATATTTTTTCTCCTCTTTGAATCTAGTATGATTTAATTGTGTACAATCTACCACCGAGCTATAACCACAGGTTCCCATTACTCCCAATTTACAGTTCTTTATTAAGGTAAAAATTTTACTTGTTCTTTAAAAGTTCATTTTCTACATGTAGACAGAATCACTCTTTGATGTGTAGTTCTGAATTTTTATATCTGTAGATTATGTAATCACAAAGTACATACAAAGTCAGCATACACACACATACACACGCATGCATGCACGTGCTAAAAATCCCCTCACTCTGTTTTTAAACCGTACCTGTATTCCCTCGATAATATCTAATCTGAACTCTGAACTTATTTTATTTCTCTTAAAGTAAATGAGTGTTTGTCTGTGTGTGTATATATTCATTTTAGTTTCTCAGGTTATTTATGTCCAGAGTTTCCTTTTATTTCTGCTATTGCACTGTATGGATGTATTTTTATCTATTCCTTTGTCGAGGCACATTTGGTTTTAGCTTTAGATTCTTAAATGAAACTGCTGTGAACATTTCAGGGTTTTTTTTTTGTTGTTTATTTTTTCATTTTGTCTTAATAAAGAACTAGGAGTTGGGAGTAAGGGGAATTTGGTTATAGTTCAGTGGTAGAGTACTTGCTTAGCATGTGTGAGGACCTGGCTTTGATTCCCAGCACTAGGAAAAAAACAAAAATAATAGCAAGTAAGAATGGGATTATTACAGTGTATAGTGAATGTATGTTTAATTTTATAAAAGTCTGCCAAGCTTTACCAAAGTGGCTGCGCCATTGACATCTCAGACCAGCAGTGGATGAGACCTTCATTACCCTGATACTTGTCAATGTTTTTAACATGGCAGGTGATGTTGGTATCTTTTGTGACTTTTTTTTTTTGAGTGTATAACTGATCCAGGCCTGTGTACTTTAGGCAAGTAGTCCAGCATTGAGCTGTATCTCCAGCCCTCTTTTTGTGATTTTTATAGGCATTTTTCATAGTATCTTTTCATGTGCTAGTTAATTTGTGTGTCTTCCTGGATTAAATGGCTATTTCAAATCTTTGCAGCCTTTCTTCTTTCTTTTTTTGAGATAGAACATTTCTCCCTTGTTTTTCCTCTCTTCAAATCTTCTCATATACTCTCCCTTCTCTCCTTCAAATACATAACTTTGTTTTCTGTTAATTGTTATTGTATTATTCCTAAGTTCAGCCGGCTCTGTCCATATAATGTTGCCTGTATGTATGTTTTCAGGGTGGGTTGGTGTGTTTTCCCTGGGGAATACCACGTCTCCGGCTCCCAGTTTTACTCAGTTACCTGTAGTTTCTTTTGTCTTTTTTTAAAAACTGTTTTCTTATCTTAGTGAAAAGTACTATGAAGAGTATTATAGACTGGGCTACATCAACTCTATAACCTTGATGCTTCTGGAGGCTAGAAAGTCAAATTTAGGGTTCCATTATGGTCAGGCTCTGGGGAAGTCCTTTTAGTTTTGCAAACACCATGAGTCCTCACGGGTACAGAGCAGCCCTCTCTGGGTCACCTCCTTGGAGCACTAACCCCTTAGTAAGGGTGCTACTCTCACTATCTAATTACTTCCCTAAGGCCTCACGTAATCATTAACATTAGGATTAGATTTTATTATGTAAATTTGGGGAACATATATTCAGCCCATAGCAGGTTTGTTGCTCTTATTCCTGAGCAGTTAATTTTTAAAGTTAATACTGAGATACCAGAGCCCACCAGCTGATGTCTCTTCAAGTTAGATTCTGACTTTGACATCTTTTGGTCTTCTGAAACTAAGTGTCTGAAGCTGCGATAATGAAGTATGTCTCCAAACGATGGAAATGTTTTCCTACCTTTTGTTTTTAAGTGATGTTTTAAGTGATTAGGCAGTAGTTGTAGTGTTAGTTCAAATGTCCACCAGGTGGCACTAATGCCTGACTAATACTGAAAGGCCTGAGCCCAGTCTTCAGGAAACACCAGCTGAGGCTCTGGAGGTGGGGTGGAGACTTTGCAGTGGTAGCAGCACTCACTGTGTCTCTCTGAGGTGGGGATCAGTACATATTCAGTTTGCTAGGCTGAGCTTTGAACGGTGAGGCGTTTTAGATTGTTTTTTTTTCTTAGTGATGTATGGGTTATGATTTAAAGCTAGGCTTGGAAGAATAAATTTAATGTGTAGGTTTTCCCATTTAACCTTGTGTTTGAATGCACATAAATCCTACAGGTTCATAGAAAAATTAGAAATACACATTTTATTAATTTCATATGTGGAATTGATGATGATCAGTATTGCTTACCTTATTTACTAGACTGACCTATAAGGCCTCTTTCATCATGGGAAAGGATCATAAAGACGGGTCTTGAAAAGATAAGTTCATTATGAAAAATATTCAAGGATCATAACCTTCAACCTCCTGGATGCCAAATAATAGTCAAAATGCCTTGGAGCCTGGCTGTCTGTGTGGTTGCCCTAGAAAGGTTTCCCACCAACTCCCACAGCCTCCTAACTAGTTCGTCGTCTTTATTACCGGTGCACTGAGACAGGCACTCATGGGAAATAAATCTCCAGATTCTTCCGGCTGCTGTTTGCCTGCAGTTGGTACTCTGTATAATTTCATTGTTGACTACACTTTCAAAAATTATACCCACATTTTCCAAGTCTGCTCAGTGAAGCAGTAGTCCTCCAAGAAGTTGCTTTGAATTGGGCTTAAAGAAAGAAAAGGTAGTTTTGTCTTTGCCTCTGTTCAGCTTACTTTATCATATTAAAGGCATTCTGAATCCCTAAGCAGTAGCTCCCAAAAGCCTAGCACTGTTCCCTGAGGAACATTTTTATGGGAATTGTCACAGTGGTTGGCCTGGAAACCACAGGTAGATGCTGGGTGGCATATAATCCCCATAAGAGGCTCATAAAAGCAACTGTTGTTTCCTGCCCCCCCCCCCCCCCGGATTTTAGCTCTTCTTGACAAGTCTTGTGGCAGTATATAATTAAGATTGCTTTCTAAGTCTGTTTACGTTTAAATATGGAGTAATTGAGATTTTATATAGACACTGAGTATCTTAGGAATGCAATGATTATGTAAATCAAGTAAAGACTTTTATTTTGCTTGGATCTTTACCCAAAATTGCTCACCGCTGTCAGTGCTGCTGCTGGCATTTGAGTGACTGGTGGAGCATGGCCGTGCAGCTTAGCTTACATTCGTAGCTTTCTCCTTCACAGTGATAATGCAGATGAAATGATCTAACTAAAATGTTGTTGCTTCTTTTGGAAGTTATGCTGATATAGAGTTTATTTGTTTTTTTTCAGGGTAGTAATTAAGGTGTGAGGAACAGCTTACTGCAAGGATGCTTCGGTACATCTGGGAGCTGCTATATTTAAAGGTCTAGAGAATTCTCCCCTAGCTAAATTTGTTTCCTAATAGAACATTTTTATTTGATGAAAGCTGCCAAGTTTTGTTAAGCTATTTGCTGGGTTTTCATTTGTCTTTGACTGTAGCATAAATTTATTACCCATCAACATGGGGGCCTACCCGTATTTTCAAAGTTGGACTAAAGAATAGTCTCTACTATTCTTTCCTATTGTAGATGGACTAGTGGAGAGTAGGTGGGATTTGAACAAAGCAGAGCTCCAGCTGAAGCACCTGGTGGGGAAGGGTGGCACATGCTCTGTCTCGACGTACAGTGTGAGTGCTTAGAATAGCTGGGGACTGGTGGACACTCGCTGACAAGCATGGCCTTTTGCCCTCCTCTCTTCCTCATCCTCTTTTCCCTCTCCCCTCTCACATTGTCTTACTGTATAGCCCTGGCTGGCCCCAAACTTGCAATGCACCTAGCTCCGTCTTCTTCAGCTTTGCATAACTAATACACTGTTTAGGGAAGTAGATACCTTTCCCTACAAGTTGGCCTTTTACTAGCTTTCTGATGTCCCCACAACGTCTTCCTGGTCATATATAGATTCTCATAAGGACTTTTCTCAGTCTGTT